AAAATATGCTTATAAACATATACACACTCATGGCAGAGCTTCCAAAATACATGAAGAAAAAAAACTTACAGAATTGAAAGGAGACTAACCATTCAACAATGTTGGAGATCTTACAACTACATTTTCAATAATAGAATAGTAGACATGATAGCAAGGAAATAAGAGACTTCAACAGCACAATAGCCAAAGTATTGCTAACAGACCTGTGTAGACCACTGCTCAGCAACACAATACACAGGAATTTCACCAGGAGAGCCCATTGCTAAGTAATAACAAAAGTATCAATGTATTTTAAATAAGTAAAGTTATACAAAGTATGCTACACAACCAAAATGGAGAGAATTTAGACATTGGTAATGGAAACTCACAAGTATGTGCAAATCAAACAACATATTCCTAAACAACTGAGTCAAAACAGGTGTCATAGGGAATATTTTATAAACACTTAGATACTGAGGAGTGAAGAAGATGGAAATACACCACATACATACGAAGTCAGTATAATGAAACCCACCACACACTGGAAGGGGAAGAAAGAGAGGGGAATGGAAATACCATGGAGGGGGACTTGCTCAAAGTCCATTGTGTGCATCCACAGTATTATCACATGGGTGACAACATGAATGTATGATAAATCAAAAAAATTTAAATACTTTGAGATTAATGAAAGTGAAGACACAGTTTACCAAAATTTATAAAATGCATCTAACATAGTGCTTAGAGGGAAAGTTATAAATTTAAACACCAAATTTTAAAAAGAAAATCTCAACTCAAAGACTAAACCTTTGACTCAAAGATGCTGTAGAAAAAAAGCAAATTAAGCCTAAAGTTAGCAGAAAGAAAGCTATAATAAAAATTACATCAGAGATTAATAAAACAGAGAACCAAAAAAACAGTAGAGAATAAGATAAAAAGCTAGAGGGTTTTTTTGACTAATTAATGAAATTCCTAGACTCACCAAACAAAAAGGAAAAAAGAAATGAAATTACTGCACTCAAAAATGAGAGGCTATTACTACTGACTCTACTAATGAAAAATACTATGAAGAATTAATTCACACTATGAAAAACAAATTTAGAGGATTTTTTTCTATATCAGTTGAGATGATCATGAGTTTTTTATTCTGTTGCAATTACGTATTAAATTAATTGGATTTTCAGATATTAAAATACTTTTGCATTTGTCTTTACTCACAGAAGTTATGAAAATCCTAAGACATATACAAAAGGGGCTTATAGAACTAATAAGTAATATTGATAAGATCATATGATCCAATTTAGTTGATTTTCACAACTAGGAAATAAGGAGTAAAAAATGGGTTCAGTTTTTTCTGCACGGAGATACCCAGTTTTGTACTGGAAGAGCTCGATGGATTAAAGACTGCCAATGCTGATGGCTAGTTACCAGGTGGGACAAATGGAACACTTGTACCTCCATGGCAGTGTAATACATTTGTTGTGAGGCGGGGAGAAAGATTGGCATTCCTTATAAAACACATTTACCATATGTCTCAGCAATTCCACTCGGATCTTTACTCAAAAGTGAAAACATCCACACAAAGACTTTTTTATGAATGATACTTATGTCAGTTTTATTCACAAAAGTCAAGACCTGCAAACAAACCAAAAGTGCATCCAAGTGTGGTACATTCATGCCATGGAATGTGAATCCACAATAAAAACTTAACAATGTGGTAAATGCTGAACAAAAGAAGCCAGACACTCACTGAACACTGTCAGAGGGTTGGAAAGTGTTTGCTGGACTCCTGGACAGGAGATGCGATTGATTGAAATGACACATGAACTTTGGAGGAATGAAACTGTCCTACGTGTTGATTTTAGTGGTCATTGTACAGATGGATTTATTTGTCACAATGTTTCATAGCCCACACTTATTATAAATGCCTTTTATTATATGTAGATTAACTTCAAAATATTTATTCTAAAAAGACAATGTGTGTATATTTAAAGAATATTAAAATAATTTTAATTATTTAAATAGAGCAGCAAGTTAGTCTCAAAATAATTTTAGGACTTCTCTTTTTCTTTAGTGCTGAACACCCCTACTTGGCAGTGTAGTGGAACACATTTTTATAATTGTGAGTACTTTGGTCCTTTAAAGGGCTTCTAACCTTTGGGTTTGAGCCTTAGTTAAGAAACTCTTAACTCTTAACTCTTAACTAGTTAAGAGTTTCTAGTTAGTATGTTCTAACTAGAAAATACCTTCTTGAATTCTGAAACAAAGAAAATACTAACTTCCAAATTTTTCACTGCCAAAGAGATTGTGGCTAAGAGTTCTCCCCATTTGACGGAGGAAAAAAGGATGCCTCACCTATCCCTCTGCTTTCTGTGTAGTCTGAAAAGAGTCACAGAGAAAAAGAAGGAAGGACACTCTGTCCTGTTGAGTCACTTACAGATAAAAAGGTATCCTTCAGCAACTACACATGAACAATTAAGTTAATTACCCCTAAGATAGTGACCTTTTTATAAATAACACATATGTGAGGTATAGGTAGGAACATATATTTACATATGAAAGATACGTTTCCTTGGAATAGAGATTTTTAATGCCACCTTCATAGCTGGTATGTCGACTTAAATCTGGATGATGGCTTTAAATTTCATATTGGATGGCTTTAAAGCAAAAATAACAAGAAAATTTCATCTAGGACCCCACAGTCAGAACATGGAATTGAAAGGGCCTATAGCTGGGAGCCAGTGGCTCACGCCTGTAATCCTAGCTACCCAGGAAGCAGAGATCAGGAGGCTCGTGGTTTAAAGCCAGCCTGGGCAAATAGTTCGCAAGACACTATCTTGAAAAACCCTTCACAAAAATAGGGCTGGTGGAGTGGCTCAAGGTGAAGGCCCTGAATTCAAGCTCCAGTACTGAAAAAAAAAAAAAAGGTGGCCTGTAGAGCTGATTCAGGAAATGAGTGAGTAAACAAAAAAGTAAAATGAATCTGCCAGAACCGCCCCTCCCCCATGTGTGTGTGTGTGTGTGTGTGTGTGTGTGTGTGTGTGTGTGTGTGTGTGTTATTTATATCATTTGAGAAGTAATACCAAAAGGAATTTTGGAACATCCAGAATAAAGGAACAGCCACAGAAATGATAAATGCCTAGGTAAATATAGTAGACTCTTCTTCCAAGTTCTTTAAAATATGTTAGATAGTTGAAAGCAAAACTCATGACATCATCTGAGGAGTTTTTTGATGTGCATACGTAATATGCAAGACAGTATAACACAAGGAAGAGGGCAAAGGACATATAGAGTAATGAGGTTTCCACATTCCTATTAAAATGGTAAAATATTAATTCTTAGTAAGCTATGAAAAGTTAAGTATGCATGTTGTAAGCCCTAAAGCTGCTGTTTGAAAGAGAAAGGATTTTTAAAAACTGTATACAGAGATTCAGGCACTGGTGGCACACACCTATAATCCTAGCTACTCAGGAGGCAGAGACCAGAAGGATTGCGGTTTGAAGACAGCCCAGACAAATAGTTCATAAGACACTATCTCAAGAAACTCTTCACAAAAATAGGTTTTATGGAGTGGCTTAAGGTGAAGTTCAAACCCCAGTACCACTAAAAAAAAAAAAAAAGAAACTATACACAGAGAGCACACAAGGGAGGGGTGAGGATAGGTAAGACACCTAAAAAACTAGCTAGTATTTGTTGCCCTTAATGCAGAGAAACTAAAGCAGATACCTTAAAGCAACTGAGGCCAATAGGAAAAGGAGACCAGGAACTAGAGAAAAGGTTAGATTAAAAAGAATTAACCTAGAAGGTAACACCCACGCACAGGAAATCAATGTGAGTCAATGCCCTGTATAGCTATCCTTATCTCAACCAGCAAAACCCCTTGTTCCTTCCTATTATTGCTTATACTCTCTCTTCAACAAAATTAGAGATAAGGGCAAAATAGTTTCTGCTGGGTATTGAGGGGGGGAGCGGGAGGGGGTGGAGTGGGTGGTAAGGGAGGGGGTGGGGGCAGGGGGGAGAAATAAACCAAGCCTTGTATGCACATATGAATAATAAAAGAAAAATGAAAAAAAAAAAAAAGAAAAAAAAAGCAGGGTTGGAAGCGAGCGGAACCCTGTTGGGGCAGCTTGGGAAGATGGTAGGGGGAGGACTTGGCTCAGGAGGGGCAGTTCTCCAGTACTTAGCACCCAGGATGCAGCAGTTCCTGAGAGTGTGTCAGTTATCCCAGAGCGCCACCCCTGGATCTCTCCCACAGGTGCTTGGCCTTCTGGTCTTTTCCATCATGTGATGAAGCAGCACGAGGCCCTCACCAGATGTGGCTGCGCAGTCTCGAACTTCTCAGCCTTCAGATGAGAACTAAACAAACCTCTCTTTCTTATAAACTATCCAGCCTCAGATATTCAGTGATAGCAACAGAAAATGGATTAAGACAGTGGGCAGACTGGGCAGGGTTTGAAAGGGAAAACTGTTAATTTAGTCTACTAAATCTTTGAATGTTTCATAAATGGTGTTGATAGTGAAAGCAGAAAAAATTGGGGGCAGGGTTGAAAGGGAAAATTAAAGAAAGTGAAATGAAATCAAAGTACCTAAGCGAGGATCGCCAACAAGATTTAACAGCCTGCTGGCAACCATGCTGAAATGCTTTATTGTAATGATCACCTCTTCAGAGTAAAAGCCCTGTTTAGGTTGATAATTTTACACAGTTGTTTACATAGATGACTTCTATGAAGATATTATAGAATATGGGAAAAAATCTTGGTTTTTAAAGAAAGCTTCTGGATAGCTCTTTAGAAATGAAGAATCTTTTTCTGTGTGTTTGATATTTATTATTTATTTCTTTTTTTGAAACAAGGTCTCATTATGTAGCCTAGGCTGGTCTCAAACTCACCTTCCTCCTGCTTCAGCCTCCCAAGTACTGGGATTACAAGTGTGCACCACCATACCTGGCAAAAATGAATCTTTTGATAAAAACAGTTCAGAGTCAACTTACTCTCTTCCAAATAGGCAGAGCTGTATTATCCACCAATCTATTTTTAAAATGAATTTAGGATTACAAATAGCAAGCATGTGCCTTCTGCCCTAACTGCTTACCTGGGCACCAGAAATCTGGATCCCAGTTCTTCTCCCTTTGTGCTGCAGGATGCCTGTTTTCTTCTCGAGAGGTGAAGCCCTTGGATATGGAGGGTGAATGTCCCACTCTCCAGGGAGGATCACCACTGCTCAGAGACACAGGGCCTCCTGGGGGCCAGGCCTGGCCTCTCACAGCCTTCCGGTCCTCACCTTCCTCCTTGGAGTCTGTGTTCCTGGAGCTCAGACACCTCATCCGAGACACAGAGCTCACCTCCTTCATTCTCATCACGCGGTCAGAGTCCGCCCTCCTCGGAGGGGCTGCCAGCCTCTCTTGTAAACTCTCAATCACTTTGGAAGGGCTTCGGAACCTTTTTTCTGAGCCTGCCACACTTGAGGTCCTTTCTATAAAATGGAATAAAGTGGACCTGAAGGGTGGCTTTGCCCCCACATCCTTTTCCTCAAAGGACCTGGCCTCTCTGGGTCTGGGCTGAGGCTCAGGGCTCGTAGCTTGCTTGGCAGGGACCCTATCCACATCTGAGGGCTCAGAAGTCTGGGGTGCCCTTTCCCCTACAAACAGGGGGCTTTGGGTCCAGCCGCACTTTCTCCTGCTATAGAAGGCATCAGTGGTCACTAGGGGAATACCTGATGGTTCTGGGCTAGGCAGTGACTGTTCCATGAGTGACTCAGGGCTGCAGGCATTTGCATCAGGCTCAGGTGGTTGGCTCTGTCCTGCTTTCTTGGCACCCGGCAGGAGGGACTCCACAGCCACCTCAATGCCCAGGATCCTCTCGGCCCTCGCCTGCAGGGACTCGCTTGGGGGGATTTCCATTGCATTCCTTCCTCCCAAAGCCTCCTCGAGCTCAGTGACATTCTGCTTGTGTCCTGTTGTGAGCCCCACAGAGCGCAGGTCTGGTGCTGAGAGGCCTCGGGTTTTGTTAGTAAGCGACAGTGCGACCACTGTGCCCATCTCTTCACCACTATCCACCTCCAGAGGGACCACTCTGCTCAGTGGCACAGAGCCTAAAGCTTTTGTGAGTTCAGTGAATTCCCAGCTTTCCAGGGGCTCCCTTGGTTCAGCCAGAGAGGATGGAGTTGCTGGTTTTGTGGCCATGGTTCTTTTCACAGGACCTGGACTGACCACTAGCTCATACATCCCATTCACAACCTCCTGCTTCCGCTGCTGCTGCTCTGCCATCACACTTTCAGTTACCCACTGGAAGGGGTCACCTCTGCTGTCTTTCACCTGCGAGGCACCAGGGGACAGAGGACCATCATGCTGGCAAGGCTTTGGCTCCTCACTCCAGCTCTCAGACTTACTTTTAACTCTTCCCACCTGAAACCCAGGGTCCTCTGGCGCTGACACCCTTGGCTGCTGCTCGGTTCTCCTTTCCTGGCTGCTTTCATGGTAGCCCCGGGGCCTTGGTCTACAGTCAGCCCAGTCTTCAGGCTGCTGATCTGTCTCACTATCCTCACTGCTGCTGCTGCTGCTGCTGCTGCTGCTGCTACTATTATGGCTTTCTTCCTCTTCTTGAAGCTCCTTGTTGAAACTTTCTAACTGGCTTATCAGATCCCAGGGCCGACGACTAACCGGTTTCAGGAGAAACTGACCAAATAGTTGTTTGCTATTGCATGGCCCAGCTGTAGGCTCTCCTTTCACCACCGCCGGCTTGGGTGGAGAGTGGTCCCCATCTAGGCAGGGCTGACCTGAGCCCGCTTTTGGTACAGATGCCTGATTTCTAGATGAGGAAGTCCTAGAAAAAGCGCTATTGCTGGATGGGCTGAGGGACATTTGACCCCTGAGGTTAGGAGCTTCTGGCTTCTGTGTTTGGTCACTGTCTGCTAATGTTGGGTGGAGGGGAGCTTCAGAGGCAGTGGGGTCTAAACATTTTGGGGTCAGTGCTACGTTCCTGGGCCCTTCTGGCTTTGCAGCCGGGAGGTGTTGCGGGCTTTTGGATTCTTCAGGGAAACTGGTTTGGGTTTGCTGGTCCCTATACAGGTGGCCTGGCCACGAGCCAGAATACTTGAGTTCTCTGTGTTTTGCAAGGTGGGTGAATCTGAGGTCATTTGTTTGCTTGTCTTCCTCCGGTTCCCCCAGATCTTGTTTTGGGAATGCCATGTTTCCTGTGAGAGCCTGCAGCTCCAGGTCAGTGGAAGACATGCTCAACAGACTTTGTTCTTGCAGAGCTATGCCCTTATCAAGCCCAGGCTTTCTTGCACCACTCGGTTTTAGGTCATTGTTATTCCTATCTATACCTGGCAGATGTGCTTCTGACTTAACTGGGATGGAAACCAAACAAAATATGGTCTCATTCACTTTTTTCTTGGAACTTTTCTTGGTCTGAATCCCAGTTTCAAACTTTCTGAGCTTTGTTTGGCTTTCACAGGTACTCTGGCCCTGTGGGTGTGGGGAGGGAGCTTGGGCCCCTGGGTGTCCGTGCTGGTCACCTCTCCTGTCAGCCTGTGGTCCTCTCATGACACAGTGGTCTCTTTGGTCAAGGAAGACTCCATTTTCTCCGTCTGTGGGGAGCTGGCTCCAAAGCCACCGAGGACTGGGGTCAGCAGAAGCCAGGCCCTGCTCGGCACCTGATGTGGGTATCAGGCCCTGTGGATGTCGAAGGGCATCATCAAGTCTCATTTTCCCATGAGCTGACTCTTGGGCAGTGACAGGAGAAGAATTATATGGCCTGTCATCATGCTTCGTTTCTTCACAGAACCCTGGGGGCTGAGCTAGTTTAATGTGTCGTATCCGAGGATCATCAAAGGGGATGTACTGAACAGAGCCTTCATAGGCAGTGATGGGGTGGGAGTATCGGGGAGCCCCTTGAGGAGATAGTAGGCTTGCAGTGTATTCGTTCCCAGTTCCAACTGGGCCAGAAGGAAGTGGACACCCTGATTCCACCTCCTCAGTCAGGTGCTGCTGCTGACTATGGTTGCCACTCACATGTCTGGGCACTGGATCTTCCAGGTAGGGGTTTGGGATGTGCTGGGGGGGCGACCTGTATGAGGGTGGAGGCACATAAACTGGAGGCTCCAAGCCAGAGTCTGACACTACACGCTCATGCCTGGAGTCATTACTTTTTGTCAGATAGGACCCTTGTCGGTCTGTGTGCTGGCTGTCCTGAAAGTCACTATTTTCCCCTCCCCTGGACGGATGGTGAGAGCCATAAGAAGGAGGCTTGACAGGTCTCCCGAACTTCGGCCAGGGAAATGCAGCCTTCTCAGGGTTCCTTGTGGCTTCCACATATGGTGCACAATTTGCAGGATATAGTGGCATTTTAGGGACACCTGGTAAATGGCCATCATTTAAAGGAATGGGAATTTCCATGCAAGCCAGGCTTTCAGGGGAAAGAACTCGAGGCAACGACCGGGATTTCTTTTTGTTCTGAGAAATCAGTAAATTCTCTCCTTGAACAAATGGGTATAGATCTTGAAACAGTCTCTTTCCATCACCCTCAGACATCTGTCTCCCTAATTTCCTTGACTGGTTCCAGCTTTCAAGGTTTACGTTGTGCCACTTGGCAGGACCTGACATCCTCAGCTCTTCTTCCCAAACTGCCTTCTTCATCACATGCTCTGTCCTTCCTCCAACTTCCCATGGACCCTCCCTCATGTGGACGGGCAGACTGTGGGCTTGAGCCATTCCTCTGACCTCCACGTCTTCCCGGTCCCTCAGACCCAGCAAGCTAGTGACCTCCTGTCCTCTTCTCCTGTGGGTGTGGTCGGTTCTGATCTGGGGCTGTGAGAACCATGGTAAGGTGGGTTGACTGTAAAACCTATAAAACAAACAGAGGAACACAGATGTTAGAGACAGAATCTGGGACATCACAAGTGATCAGGTATCAGAATTCTTCCTGGTTCCCTTCAAGTGTTCCCAGTGTGCAGCAGGGAAAAACCACAGCTGGGGTAGTTCCCACACTGCTTTGATGGTGAGAATAACCCAGGGGGTGGGGGTGGGGGCAGGTTAAACAGTCACACATGCATAGTGACATTTCATTTGTTCCCTGTAAGATTACAATGAAGCTGAAGAAGTCCTACCACCTCCTGACATTGTAGCTATTGCAACATTATGGAGCAATGCTTTACTCACGTTTGGGGTGATGCTGGAGTAAGCACCCCTACCACCCCGCCACTCATATGCAAGCATTACACAGGCAACTATGTACACACATACTTGATGATAATGAATGACTTATGCTACTAATGATCTGTGTTTATTTTTTATAAAAAAGTTTATTGGGAAGCAGTGGGCTACATTATGATGGCAGCAGCCACATGCATTTTGTTCTCTTCCTGTCTCCTGATTGCATCCAGAGGCCATGTCCAATGATTGACCTGTACCACCTAGATTTACACAATGACAAAACCACCTAATGATGCATCTCTCAGAATATCACCCTGTCATTAAGTGACACATGACTGTATGCACAATACCAAGTCTCTCTCTGTGAAAGTTGAAATTCGGTAGGCCTAGGTCTGGCCCAGGCATCTATATTTTTAACAAGTATCCAGGGGATTCTTATCTGGGTGATCTGGGAAATACTGGTAGTGCTGACTATGAGTTGGTAGGGGAGGGATTACTTTGCTGCACATTAGATTTTTCTTAGGAGCCTTTACAAAAATACACATGCTGGAATTATAGGTGTGAAATACTGTGCCACGGTGTTCTAACACATTTTGAGAAATGCTACTGTCCACACTTAATAAAGGTCAAAGATTATTTACAATAAACTCTTAGAAAACGAATGAGTAGATCGTGGGGCATATTGTCAAGTTACCTTAGATAAGCCATTCCCATTTATAATCCTACCTCATAAGTAGAGGATAGCTGGTCTTGCTGGACCATCTTACCCCGACTTACAATTATTTTTTCCTTATTAGATTAGTAAAAATAACATTATTTAATTAGCATTTCTTTGATTACTGGCAAGGTCAGATTTTTCGTGTTCTTAAGTGTCATATACCACATTTTGTGGTTTCAAATTATTTCTACATCTCAGAGCCAAGCACGGTGGTACAGTCCTATAATCCTAGCACTTAGGAGGTTGAAGAGGAGCACTATGAGTTTAAGGATAGAATGAGCTACATAGTGAGTCTTGGCTGACCTTGCTACATAGTGACACAGTCTCAAAAACAAATATTTCTACAACACAGACCACTTTTCAGCTGGAAATACAGCACAGCAATGACAGTGAGGGCTGCATGGAAGGGCAGGGAATGAACTAGGCTGAAAGGGAACCATTCCCAACACACAGGTGAAGAGAGCTGGTCTGAAGGAGCCCCTAGTAAAAAATTGTATCATTACTGTTCTTATTTTGCAGCTACTTCTTTGCCTTCAAAGGCAAGGGTAGATTCCAAATCACTTGGTAAGCAGCCACTTAGTGCCAAGCTTAGTTATGGGTAGAAATATTTTAAATCATTTTGAGGTAAAGCTTGTGCCACCGAGCAGCCTCAGTGCCCCTGTGCTTACTACTCACATACCATGCAGGTGGTCAACACTGGGCATGGGAGCAGGTCACAATCTCTTTGTAGCCATCAAAGTCGGGTTTTCAACACTTTGAGTTTTGAATGGTTGGCAGAACACTGATTAGCTGGGTTCTACAAGGACTTATCATTTTGGAAGCCATTACCACTAGCTGTTTTGCAGACCCATCTGCCCAGGTGAGTGAGCCAGCCTTGCAGCTTTGGAAGCTGTGGCCCTTCCCTTAGGGACCCTGCATGACTGAGTGTGTGAAGAGACACGTAGAAGATGATCAATCCACTTGTAAGTGCTCAGTACCTCCTGGCTGTCAGGTATCAGACTCCACACAAAGTTCAAGGACAACAATATTTGCAAGTTAACAGGATACTGCAATTGTCATACACTCAACTGGGAGAAGCAAAAGGAATCCCAGGGAAGTGTGTGGTTGATTCCTTGCATCAGAAATGATCCATTTCCTTACCTCTGTTCTTAAGCTGACAACAAGCAGGCTTTATATACCACAGGTCTTTATTTAGCACCCTTCTTATCCCTCATTTGTAAAAGCATTTTCTGGAGTGCCCAACCTTATGGAGTAAGTGGCATTGTGGCTCTAGCTCACTTTATCCACTGATGCTCCCTCATTTCATGGTGAGTGTGTATTGTGCTGAGAGATGTGACTGAAATCCTAAGGTGCTATTGGTGCATATATGTGCCATGAAGATGGATAAAACAATGTAATTAGGGCAAGAATATAAACAGACTGTGACTTCCTACAGACATAATGTGGTTGGTTTTCTGTTCCACACAAAAATGTTGTCACCTTCACTTTGCCAAAAGTAGTTAAAATGGCTAAGCATTCTGGGTTTAGCTTACTATTTTCATAATATACCAAAGTCCCAATTTAAGGAAAATATAAATCGTTTGGGAAATTTGAAATAATCTATTTGAAAACATAGTCCATATGACATAGAACACTACAAAGCAATTATTTAACAAATATCTATTTTGTACCTAATCTAAGCCAGGCCCTGACAGGCATAAGTGGACCCCTGTATGGTAAGAGTCGTGGTAAATGTCTCTTTCATACAAGTTATCCCATGCAGCTCTTCTACTAGCTTTGATACATGGTGTCCCTTGCAATATAAAATGCTACGCTACCTCAGCACCTGCCTGGCAAGTTGAAGGCCCTAAGTACAAACCCCAGCACTACCAAAAAAAAAAGAAAAGCTACAGATTTATATGTAGAAAACATTAACAACAAGGCTCCTCACATAAACACACTGAGTACATTGATGCAGGATGGGAAAAGATAAGGCAGCAAAGTGGAAGGTGAGAGGCTACATCAACTGTGTTACAGGTTCAGTGGGACCAGCAGGGTCTTTATACAGAATTCCCTGGAGAGTAGGATGGAGATAAGGCAGGAGCTAGACTTGCTAACAGCTCTGTATGTGATAACAAGTGATGAGGCCAACAAAATAACTAACAAAGAAACTTCCTCAAAAATATTTAGAATAAGAAAGAACATGTGAAAAACGTGTCGAAGGGAAATTAGCAAATCTACTCACTAAATGGGGTAAGTAAGAGAAAAATTAGCAGGAATTTCTGTTAGTTCACATGACTCATTTTCAACCAAAGATAAAATACTGTCTTTTGTATTTACTGTATTATTTTATTTTTGCAAGTGAATATTGGGAAGGTCCTTGCACATTCTAGGCAAACATTCTACCACTGAGCTATTCATAGCCCCACTCTTTTTAAAATGTAAAGGTCTCATACTTAAAATGGCAATATTTGAGATGACTTTAACCAGTGTTTCACACTCTCTAAGACTATCCTCTCAGTAGATAAGGTATACCTGGGCATGCTACAGGCTAGAGCTGTGCCCAGCAGCCTAGGGCCCAGGATAAATGCACGATTTAATAAGAAATTGAGCAGAGACTTGTTGCTGCCAGATTGAATGGAAGAAGGGGGAAAGTGGTCCTCTGTGGGAAGTGAAACATAGGCATTGCAGTTAGCCCTCCTTCCTCCATGAACCAAATCTTGAACCTGGTCCTCCTGTGGGCAGCCCAAGTTAGGTCAGTCATCCTTCAATGTGGAGGTCAGGGAGGAGGTGGGGAGGTCCCACTAGTCATGCATTTCCTGGTCCCCATATCTGCAGTCCCCTCCTTCACACTGTGATGGCATTCATACTATGGACCAGCAGGTGACTGCACATTTTGCCTCAACCTATTCTGTAAAAAGCTGCCCTCCTTCCAGAGGGTCAGTCATTCATAAATAACTGGACAAGCTGAGCATAACAGTAGCATTTGAGGCACTGCACACTTGTCCCAGGAGCAGCTTTCTTCTGTCCCCTGCCATGGCAGAAGGCATTGTGGGCATCTTTTTAGAGTGACTCAAATTCACCAGCCTCAGTGTTAAGTGCTTAACAAGCTCCTCTGATTGGGTCAACCAGAAGCCTGCAATTCCATTTCTCGGCAGGCCCAAAACATTAGGGCTATTCAATATATAATCCTGTGCAAATAACACTCTGACACAGGAGAGCAAACAGGCTAATTTTGGAAAAGGGAAATAAGAGGTCAGAAAAAGATTAAGACTGAAGTGTAAAGGTTAGCATGAATTAAAGATCAGTCAGACAGGATAGAGCTGCTCAGAAAACATAGTGGAGCAGTATCACCATTCAGCCAGCGCACTTGGAACAAGAATGGTAGGTTGCACTCGGACAGTTATAACTAGAGAATCCACAAATGTCTGTGCAGACTGCTAATACTGTTATGCCTGCTTTCTCTAATGTCACAATAAATGACTGCAGATGACAAATAGTGTACCTGCAGACTATTTCAGGATGCTATTTCTTGTTTTTCTTTTTTTAGATACACAAACTTAATAATGGGTCTGGAAGAAAAAGCAAAATATGTTTTTGGACATTTAAAAGATGCACAGTTTAGACACCTGGATGAGGGGCATAGGAAACTAACGTAAAGGCACAAAGGTTGTCATTGTGCCCAGTGGTAACTAAGTGGGGTGTATCTTGGAAAAACAACTGCTGATAGTACCCAAAGAACAGTTACTTAACATCACAGGTCTGGATGCCTGAGCATGGCTCTAGGCTCTACAAAGATGAGCTCAGAATGGGAAAAGAGGCATTTGGAAGCCATCCCTGCAGCAGTACCAACTTGCTATGACACAGAGCCATAATGTTTTAAAAACATTTTTAAAAAACTGATGGCAGGAAATGAACCCGAATCGCTCCTTTGTGGGTACCAACAGTTTCATGCATCATCTTTGTGCCAGGGCTGTCACAGACTTTTGATTTTG